TGCTGTATGGCACACTCTAACAGAGGTGGGCGATCTTTGTTTCTCTAGGCAGTTAAAAATAACTGATGTGGTCATCAAGTTCTTCTAAAGTACAGCCTGACTGCACACACATATACAGTTTCTTAAGAATTGATAGAAACTTATGATAAATACATACAATATGTTAATCAAACCAAACTCATTACCATTGAATTGATTTCAAGAAGTAAGGTTTTATCCTATTTTAAGAGTTAACGGATGAAATATGTTTACGGCATTGAAGTCTATGGGGGAGAGAATAGTCTAAAAGTATTATAGTTTAGGGCATTATTTTTATCGTAGGAGTATGCAATGAGGGTTGTAGAGTGGATTATATTTGGGGCTAGGGGGTGGGGTTTGGGGAGGTGCGGGGGGGGGATTGTGTACCAATGAGGGAGTTTTTCTTTTGCTTTTCAAGGAGAGGAGCAAATGGGGGGGGAGGGGGGAGGGGTTTGTGCGGGGAGAAGGGTGCAACAATGAATGAATGGAATCCCAAAATCTCTGTAGATGTTCATTGAAATGAAAAATAAACAACCTAAATTTAAAAAAAAAAAAAAAGAGTTAACGGTCTAGTAAAGTTGAAATATTAAATACATGCACAGTAAGGAAAAATGGGAGAAAAGCTAATTGTGCCATGCTAGACAGTCAGGCTTCATCATGACAACTACAGTAAATGTTTTTAGTTTTCAATAATGCAACATTTTTTAATAAAAAGAACAGCACATCCACTGTTATCAAGCCAGTTTTGACTCACAGCAATCCTCCATTGGTTTGGAGAAATACTCATCAGAGAAAATTGCCCATCTTTTCTGAGTGGCTGGTAGATGTGACGAGCCAACTTTTTGGTTAGTTGCCTACTAATGTTACATATTACATTGCTATGTCTACACCCAGTATTCACAAATTATTGACATTTTGCCATATTTATGTCCTAGATTAACATATTAAGATTTGCCACAACCCATTATGTTTCTATTGTTGTTGTTGTTGTTATGTGCCGTCAAGTTGTCTGCGATTGACAACAACCCTATGCACAAAAGTCCTAAACCCTGCTCTATCCTATGCCAATCTTACAGTCTGACACATCTACCTACCCCAATTACCCCAGTCACAGAATAAATCCATCTCATCAAGGGTTTTCCTCTCCTGTGCTGTCTCTCCACTCTCTCAAGCTTGACCTCCCTCTCCAAGGATTGGTCTCTCCTTGCACCATGTCCAAAGTATATGAGATGAAGCTTCAAAATCCTTGCTTCCAAGGAGCAGGATATTTCACCCTCTCCAGGATGAATCTGTTCGTTCTCTTAGCAGTCCATGGTATATTTAACACTCTTGGCCACCACCACAGCTCAAAGGCATCAGTTCTCCTTCTGTCATCCCTAGACATTGTCCAGCTCTCTGATGCATAGCAAGTGACTGAAAAGACCATGGCCTATATCAGGCACACCTTAGTCTCGAGACTGACATCATTGCTCTTCAGTACTTTGGAGAGGTCTCTGACAGCAGATTTTCCCAATGCAATTTGTCTTTTAATTTCCTGGCTTGCTGGTGCCAAAAGTGTGGGTTGTGGAGCCAAGTAAGCTAAAGCTGTTAACAATTACAGTCTCTTCACAATACATCACGAAGCTGCCAATCAGCCCAGTGGTGAGAATCTTTGATTTTTTGATGCTGGGCTTCAATCCATATTGAAGGCTGCAGTTCCTTGACCCTCACCCTCTGCACTTCAGATACTTCTATATTCTATTATATATTTATTTATAAACCATTTAACTCATTGCAACATTTGAAAATTAGTTCAACAACCTTATTTTACAACTGAATTCTTGAGTGTGCATCTCCAAAGAATAAGAACATTCATGTGAAGTCAAAATACTATTATCACACCTAGGAAATTTAACACCTATCCAATGATATAAACTATTATATAGTCCATATGCTAATTTCTTTTATTACCAAATCTACTATAGTTATTATTTTCCCCAAAAGATCACATTGTTTATTTAATTTGAAGTCTCCCTTGAAACAGAAAAAATTCTTTTATTTCTTCTTATCCAGAACATTGACATTACTTTAAAATCTAGACTATTTTATACAATGTCTCACAAGCTAATTTGTTCTTATTTGCTCGTGATTAGATTTAAAGTGAGTATTTTGGGCTAGAGTATTCCACACACCATGCTGTGTTCTTTCTACTACTTCCCATTAGGAGGTATACTCCCACCAGTTTTCAATCACAGACTTTTAAGGCACGTAACCAGATTTCTCATTCAATGTATGTACTAGACAATTTTGGCAGCAGTGTGGATGGCTAGATGGTTAGCCAAATGTTTCTAGCAAAGCAAGGCAACTAAAAAATCTCTCTCTCTCTCTCTTTAGATATGATTTTGTTAGTTCCTATATATGTATAAAGATATATACTGTGGTAAGGACTTGGGCTGTCAACCCAAAGAGAGGTGGTTCAAATCTACCAGCTGCTCTATGGGAGAAAGGTAGGCAAATCTCCTCCACTGCAATTCACTGCCTCTGAAAACGTGCTGGAGGGTCAGCTATGAGATGGTTACAATGCAATAATGCATAACGTATGTATGTATGTTTAAATATACATATATACACATACACGTACATATATATAAAACTCAAATTCACTGCTGTCCAGTCAGTCTCCACTCAGAGCGACTCTTCATCAGGTTTCTGAGACTGTAAATATTAATGGGAGGAGACTACTCATCTTTTTGCCTATAATATCTATGTGTATGTGTGTGTAAGTATAAGTATAAGCACTTATTACACACACATATATATGAAAAATGAAGGAGAAGATGCTCTAAGGGCATTAGTAGTGCAACTCTCTATGGACTACATCATAAGAGCTCCCATATGTATTTGTTGTTGTTTTGTACCACTACGCTGGAACTGACTCATAGCTGACCTTTCAGTGGGCTTTCAGAAGCAGTTAATCACATGAGAGGAAAATGCACATCTTTTTTCCACAAAGCAGCTGCTGGATTTGAACTCTGTTTCTTTTTGTGGACAGTGTTACTCCTTATATAGTCACCAGAGCTTCATCACATATATATTGTTGTCGTTGTTATGTACCTTAGCGTTGCTTGCAACTCACAGCGACTCCTACGTACAAAAGACTCGAACTCTTCTCTATTCTTTGCCAACTTTACACACCTACCGTCATTATCCCTGTTATTGAATCAATCCATCTCACTGATGGTATTCCTCTCTTTATCTGTCTCTCCAATCTTCCAAGCATGATGTCTCTCTCTCTCCAGAGAGGTCCCTCCTTGCAACATGCCCAAATTATGCCAGACAAAGCCTCAGAATCCTTGTCTCCAAGGAGCAGCCTGTTTATTCTCCTCGCAGTCAATGGTATATTCAACACTTTTCTCCGGCATCACAGGTGAAAGGAATCAATTCTCTATCACCTTTAGTCATTGTCTAACTCTTAGATGCATAGTAAGCAACTGCAGACTACAGCATGAATCATGAACACGTTAGTCTCTAGACTGACATTGTTACTCTTCAGTACTCTAGAGAAGTCCCTGACAGCAGACTTTTCCAATACAATTCGTCTTTCGACATCCTGGCTACTGGTACTGAGAGTGTTGATTGTGGAGCCAAGCAAACTTAACCTGTTAACAATCTCAACCTCTTCATTATCTACTATTCACACAACTGTGTCACTTCATAATTGTGTCAGTAAAACACGAAACTTTAAATCACACAAAAGGATGCACACCCATGTTTATTGCAGCTTTGTTCACAATA